GGCGTCAATTTCTCGAATCTATAAAATGGGATCAATAGTGGTATTCCCAGGATTGAAGGGTTTAATTTATGATTCCTGTGAAGTGTGGATCAAAGTGACTGACATATGGTGAGCCCTCAGTACCCGTTATTATTATTGTTATTATTTATGGCTTACCAAGTCTGATGGCTGACTCCAGTATACCAAGCCATCTGTTTGTCGAGTTGTTCGAAGAATCCACACGTGATGATGTTCAAAACTGATTTTAATCACTAAAACGAACATTTTAACCACTAAAATGTAATGTCCTTACAGTGTGTTAGGACCTGTCACTGTTTTTAGTATGGAACTGTCATATTCACTATGGCACAGCATCTACTGTATTGGGTCTTGGGAACCTATGGAGGGAGCACATTATTTATTACCGAGTGGTTCTAATCAACTCCAGAAAGTTCCCGGTGCTTCAGTTTCTTGATTTAAAACATTAGGCAATGGGATTCTCTCTCTCTTTCTCTCTCTGTCCATCCCCCACTCGCTCTGAGAGAGAGCGAGAGAGAGAGAGCATAAGTGAGGGAGGGACAGAGAGAGAGACGTAGAGACCTAGGCTCAAACTCATGAGCCATGAGATCATGAGCTGAGCCAAAGTCGGACTCTTAACCAACTGGGCCACGCAGGTGCCCCTCAAAATAAATAAAATTTTAAAAATAGGTTAAAATATTAGGCAAATCATACCAAAAGCTCTGGTTATGAATGAATGACCGAGAAACTCACATCTGAGTATTTGACCAGAGTGAACGCACTGGCTGTTGGAGAGGCGTAACTACAATGATAACAATCACAACAACAATAATACATTACTATTATTTTACTAATATTAGTTAGACCTGTTGTCAATTTTTTGGTATGTTTGCTTTGTTCCCAGCACTGTATTAAGTGCCACACATGTGATCTAACTTTAACCCATCAGTAACATTCTGCAGTTGATCCTTACCATCCCCATTTTACAGATGAGGAAAGTTGAGGCACACATCACTGCGGGGATTCACCCGAGGTTTCACAATATAGGCACACACTGGCCCTTTTCTGCAACTAAAGCTCACCAAAGACGATATTTGCTACCTGCATTTGGGTAACAGAGAAGAGGAGCTGGAAATCTCTGCCCAGTCTTGCCAGCCACAAACCAATGACTTTTGCATGCCCTGGTTAGAGGCTGGCTTCACCTTGTTCCCTTTCCTAGTGAGACCAAGCGTGAAAACCCTTGCTTTTTTTTTCCCCCCCTCACTCTTCCAGGGATAGCGGAGAGAGGGAAAGCACAGCATTGCCATGCTAATCAACCCCCCCCAAACAAAACTAACTCTGTTTGGTTCTAAATACAAACAAAAGAACCCTTGGAGTCTGGAGTACAGAACCAGAAAAATCAGGATATTAAGTTAAGGGTTCAGCTCCCCTTTTAGCCTCTTCTGTTGTGTCTGCTGTAAGCCAAGGAGCAGCAGAGCCCCTCCGGTCCTTCATTCACAGTGGGCAAGGCTGTGATGATGCCCTTTAAAAAGTCCCTCAACATCTTCTGGGGGAAATAAATTGGCTCCTGAGCCTATCCTCTGTGCTCTCTCTTGCTAGCCATCTTGCTCCGGGTCATTTGCATGAGAACAGATTCCTTTGTGCAGAGTTGGCCAGCCTGTTCTCCGTCTACGTTCGTAGCCCTTCTACTCTTCACGTTGGGTTGCTAGGCAGACATGACCCTGGCTTGCAAATAAGCTCACTGCATTTACCAGCCCGTGAGAACTTAAACTTGGGTAAGGAGATTGAAAGGAATCTTGTCTGGAGCTCAGAGAGGATTCGAGGGGGCTTCTGTGGGAGGTCTTGGTCGCCCGTCCATCCACTGTCTCTCTTCCTGTCTCTGCACCACCACCCCAGTATCTCACCCGAGGGCCTGTGCTGGCTGGGGGGGGGGGGGGAGCCCCTGTGTAATTTGACTGAAGCAAATTCTTGCTTTAAAACTTGACTGCTCCTCCAGACGGCAGAGAACCCCAGAGAAACTTCCTTGGAGGAACTCCAGCTAGATGTGTTGGGTTCATCTGGTGGTTTGTGGAGCCTCCCCCCACCTCACATCTAATGGTTTGAAGGCGAGGCAGGGCCCCGCTAATGGGAATGTGGGCTCCTGAGGGGGTTTGAAGATTTGCCAAGGGGCCTGAGGCACGGACGGTTTTGCTGCAATCAGCTTCAGAACACGAGCTCTTTCCTAAAGCCATTTGTGTGAGAACCCACTGTGGGGCAGGCCTGGTGCTCCGTGAGCCTTGCACGGCTGACTTCTCCTTCGTAACCAGAGCCAGGATCCCACTAGGGTGCACTTTTCCAGCTGAAAACGGCTCTGCGGTGAATATTGAAATACTGTGTCAGGGAGGCCTCTTTCGTCAAGTCAATATGTCCCATCCCCCAGTCCATCTCATAAAGATGCTTTTGCAGTAGTAATAACTTGTCCAAACGCACAATGTTTTTTCTTTGATTATAAATGATCACTTATAGGAGTAATTATGATCATCATTCGACCCAAAAGGGATTTTTTTCTTTTACACTTGAGGCATAAAACACAAAACTTCAATTTATACCCAAAGTCTGTGTTCAGAGACATAGGATAAGGTGATTAAGTACTTTTGAATCTATAAGTATATTGTGTTGATGTAGAATGAAAATACAGTTTTGAAAAAAAAAGGAAAAAAGAAATGATAGAAAGTTTCTGACCTCATGAGAAATGTTCTCATGTATTTTTTGTAATTTTTAAAGAAGTTGATTTATTTTGAGAGAGAGAGAAAGAGAGAGGATTCCAAGCAGGTCCATGCAGAGCCCGACGTGGGGCTCGAACTCACGAAACTGTGAGATCACGACCTGAACCAAAATCAAGAGTCAGACACTTAACCAAGGCACCGAGGTGCCTCATCAACTCATGTAATTTTTAAATGAATGGTGATGGTTTTCAGATGACTCTGACGTTTATATTACACCGGATACAGTTAAAAAGAGTGGTTTAAAATAGTTTTACTGTAAAAGTCAACAGTTACAGATACAACTGAAACAATATCTTTTGCAGCTACGATGAAACATTGGACGGAATTTAAAAACTGCACGAGGTTGGTATGGACTGAAAGTGTGTGGGCCCCTTATGCCCCCCGCCCCCGCTAAATTCATATATTGAAGCCCTAACTTCCAGTGCGATGGTTTTTAGAGATGGGCCTTTTGGGAGGAATTAGGTTTAGACGGGGACTTGACGGTGGGGCCTTCAAAGAGGGAGAGAGAAAGGCCTTGGGAGGACACGGAGAGAAGGCAGCTGTCTGCAAACCAGGAAGAGAGCCCTAACCCCACCTTGTTGGCATCTTGATCCCAGACTGCCAGCCCCTAGAACTATGAGAAAATGAATTTCTACGGTTTAAGCCACGCAGTCTGTGGTATTTTGTTATGGTGGCCCAAGCTGACTGATCCGGAGGGGATTTATTGTTTTCCAAATTCTCTTAGAGGTTACCCAAGCAAAAGTATTTGCAGGCCACTGAGTATGATCTATGTTCGTAGGAGCACAAGGAGGATGTGGTCCCTGCCCTCATGGGTAAGTTCTCCCCGAAGAGATAGAACAAACCCGAGAGTCACCACAGCGAGCCCGGGGAGGCCAGGTAGGGGCTGTATAGTTGAGAAGTACAAATGTAAAAATGCATGTGGGTGTGGGCTCTGGAGCCTGACCTTGAACCCCAGCTCTGTTCTCACTAGTGGTGTCACCTTACTGGGGCAAATTACTTAACCTCAGTCTACCTCAGACTGCTTATCTGTGAAGGGGGATAACAGTACTCACTGCATAGGGCGGTCACGTGGGGGGCTTAGTGCTGTGGAGCTAGGTTAACTGAGTTAACGTGTGTAAGGGGCTTAGCAGCTTAGTGCTGTGCTTGGCTCACGATGAGTTTCCCTGACTCTTGGTGGGAGACCAGAGAGGCCTAGAACCAGGAAAGACCTTACAAAGACTGGCAAGGGGGGAGGGAGGAGGAAGGCTAAACAGCAGGAGGTGCTGGGTTTGAGGATGGGAAGGTCACCTCCCCACCTTTGCCTCTGGTGATCTGGCCTCTGTCGCGGTTACCATTTAGTGCCTCGTTGATGATGTATCCCTGGGTGCGTCTCTTTAGCTCTGGAGTGAATTTTACCTGATTTCAACACTGATATTCATCCCTAGACTTCTCAGTCTTGATAGTTTATGGGTCCTATAGTTTTGTCATCCTCTCAAAACTCTTTCTCAGGCCTGTTGCAAGAGTACTGAACCCAAAACAAAAAATCAGAATTGCCAGAGCAAAGTGATTTTCATCCCATTGCTTTCAGGAATAAATCTATGTCCTGTCAAAAGTTGAAGACACAGATGTGGGTCACGAAATCTAATTGGCCATGCTGGAAAGCGTGTAGGACCACTGGGTTTGGCCCCGATTAAATCAGGCTTTCTGTGCACAGTTGTTGAGGGTGCCCCACCCATCATGTCGCTCAAGGCCAAGGAATAAAAACCTGCTTCTCCTGCTATGTTTCTGGCCTAAAGGGAGATGCTGGCTCTCCCCCCTTCTTGTCTAAACATGCTCAGCCTGTCCTGCTGCTCTCTGGAACAATACGCAGTGTTAAGCTTTGATTTTAACCCTTTTGGAGCAGTGCATCTGGTCATTTCCAGATGGCTAGGGGGTCGGGGACGGTGCATGGAAGCTGGAAGGCTGGTCTAGGCTGTGTTACGAACAGGGGGCCAGGAGGGGAGACCCTGGCCGTGGTTGTGGTCGGTGGAGGGTTCTGGCCCTCCTTAGGGGAGCCCACATGCTTAGCCGGGGTCCATGGTGGGACTGGGGACGGGGAGCGTCCATCCCACCTTCCCCCGGCCACTGGCTCTCCATCCAGGCAGCCTCTGCTCATTACAGCCTACGCACGAGCCCTGATGAATGCAGTTGTTTCCTGGGCCACAGAACCACACCCCAGAGAATGTGGTCCCTCCTCTCCGAGTGTTTACTGTCTAGTTCAGAAGACAGGACACGTGTGATTGTTACCTAAAGCAGGATTTCAACAAGTGCGCTTTTCTGAGGGAGGACCTCAGAGGAAGGGGAACTCAGAAAGGCCATGTGAGGTTAGGGAAGTGAAGAGACAGGGCTGAGCTCTGCGGGCGGGACAGAGCAGGCTTGGCCACAGTCGGATCCTGTGAGGTGCATTCATCCGGCCAGTATTGATCGAACTCCCTCCGGGCGAGGTACCAGGATCATGCAGTGCGTAAAATACATAGATATTCCTGCCCTTGCGTGCCTTACAGTCTAGACCTATGCACAGACTTACGGCTTTTCTTGCCGGAGCCCCAAGCCAAGGGCCTGGGGCAAATCATTCTTGTGGATGTTTCTGATTTTAACACGTAACTCACACTTGCCAACTTGCAGTTGGCATCCAAGGGGAGATTTCCCTCACATCCACTCTGCATCTCAACTTGGCCTCATACTGTTTAAACTGTCTAAAACCAGATTGGCTGCTAGGTAGGGTGTTCCAAAGGCCGTGACGACTGTCACCAGAGTCTGCCCAGGCAGAGGGACCTAACTCCTAGCCAAAATGGCACAGACAACCAGCCGTGCAACTGTGTGACAAGGAACCGGAGTTTGGAGCTTCGAGTTCACAAACCAGACGGACTCTTCGCTTTTCCCTTTGGCGTGGCTTGTGACCGTGGTGTTTGTGGCTCCAGGATCTACCCCCAGAGAATGCTGGCAAGTGGTTATGACAGAGACAGCCAATAGCTGCAGGGAGTCCGGATTTCACCATCGACACTCAGAACAGTTTTGCTTAATATTAATTTTAATAACGCTTTGGGCGTGTATAGTATTTTTTCAACGTGTTCTCATATTTGTTATCTCTTTATCCTCAACACAACAGACAGAATAACGATAGCCAGTGTTTCTGAGCTGAGAGCAGGCACTTGTGTTTGATTGTTTCATCCTCCCGTCATGTCTGAGGTGAAGAAAGTTTACTGTAGCTCTCTTTTTCAGGTAAGTGGGTAAACTGAGGGAAGGGGCAATTTTGTTTTTTTTTTTTTTTTTTTAAATACTTATCCAAGATCACACAGCTAGGAAATGACAATTCTGAATCCTGGACACACGTCCTTCTGGAAACAGGTCACCACATGCCCCAAATCAATTTCCCAAAAGGCAAATTTGCCAAGTGACCGCTTCACTGGATTGAGCATTATCCCCCCAGGTTTTGGCTTTTCCCTCTCCTTCCTGTGCCTCTTCCTGAGCCTCAGAGGTTCTGGGTTGGAGCTTAGCTGGAATCTGTATCAGTTGGCTTGGGCTGCATAATAAAACACCGCAGCCTGGGAGTCTTAAACAGCAGAACTTTATTTGTCACAGTTCTGGAGGCTGGGAAGTCTTTGATCAAGGTGCTGACCAATTGGATGCCTGGCGAGGGCTCTCTTCCTGGCTTGTAGAAGGCCACCTTCTTGCTGTGTCTTCACCTGTCAGAGAGAAAGACCAAGCTCTCTCTCTGGTCTCTTCTTAGTAGGACACTAGCCCCATCAGGAGGGCCCCACCTCATGACCTCATCCAACCCTTATCACACTGGGGGGGTCAGGGCGTCAACATACCAGTTCTGGGAGGACACATTCCATCCATTACAGAATCTCACGTATTTCATCGTACAGGCAGAGCAAACCCAGGGAAAAGATAACTCTGCAGAAACATGAAAGCTGGCACATCCAAGTTGGTAGAAAATTCCTGATTCCCATGCAAAAGTGACACAGGGACACGTGAAAATGTGACAGGTGAAACCACTGGTCAGTTTTCGCGTGACAGGGAGAAGGCTAAGACGTAGGGGGTGGGCCTGCCCAAAAAAAGGTCAAACCTGAATCAGATTTCGCCGTTGGGTCTAGAAGTCAGTTAACAGGGGCTTGGGGGACATTTTAAATCACACCAGGGGGTGCAATCAGCCACGTCCAAAATTGAGAAAGTTTACAGGACAAACACCTGAATTTTGTTTATAAATATATGGCAGGGAGGACAAAGGAGGAACTTATACATGAAAAGAGAAGAGACATGTGAACCAAATGCACTGTGTGGTGGAGTTTGTTTGGATCCTGGATCAGAATTTAAAAAAAAATTATAAAAGTGTTTATATATATATATATTTTATAAATAAAACATTGGTGAGACAGTGGATGACATTTAAACATTAACTGGAGTTCTGAGGATCCTAACACATCATTGTTAATTTTAAAAAGTGGCTACTCGGGCGCCTGGGTGGCGCAGTCGGTTAAGCGTCCGACTTCAGCCAGGTCACGATCTCGCGGTCCGTGAGTTCGAGCCCCGCGTCAGGCTCTGGGCTGATGGCTCGGAGCCTGGAGCCTGTTTCTGATTCTGCGTCTCCCTCTCTCTCTGCCCCTCCCCCGTTCATGCTCTGTCTCTTTCTGTCCCAAAAATAAATAAAAAACGTTGAAAAAAAAATTTAAAAAAAAAAAAAGTGGCTACTCATAGAATTGTAGTTCTCTTTAAAAAGAATTCTTATCTTTTAGAGAAACACGTAGAAATAATATTGGAGGTGCCTGGGTGGCTCAGTCAGTTAAGCGTCCGACTCTTGGTTTCGGCTCAGGTCATGATCTCACGGTTCATGGGTTTGAGTCCCACATCAGGCTCTGCACTGGCAGCACAGAGCCTGTTTGGGATTCTCTCTCTCTCCCTCTATCTCTGCCCTACTCCCCCCACCCCCTCATGCTTTCTCTCTCTCTCTCAAAATAAATAAACTTCAAAAAAAGAAATCATGTTGGATGGAGTTACAGGATATCTGAGGTTTGTTTCAAAATAGTCTAGTGTATGTGAAGAACGAGAGAAAGGGAAATAGTAGGGGTGGGGTGGGGGGAACAGATGAGAACAGGCTGGCCGAGTGCTGATAACTGTCAAATCTAGATGCTGGGTAGGTGTGCACGAGTTTCTCAACTTTTGTATGTTTGACAACTTCCGTAAGGAAATGTTTAATAAATAATAAGTAAACGCTGCTTTGTAGAAAGCCCTTAAACGTTTAGCAAACAGGGAGTGCATTGAGGGAGTGGATTTCAGGTACTCGACCTTGAATCCTTTCTGTCTGACCGCATTTCTTGTGATACCAAGCGGAGGATAGAATTTTAGAGAAAGGATGTTATTCAGAGGCCCATCTACTTTCTCCGTTCTTCTGACACGTGTTCAAGGACCCAGATATAATTTCTGCAGGGCTACTGAGCTTTTAGAGGCATGGCATGAGGCCACCTCTGCTCTCCCAAATTGGCTCCTGCCACATGGCTTCCCTCTGTGACACTTCCAACAGGTGGTTCTAGCTAACGCTAGGCAGGATGTCATATGCCCCGTGTGGATGAGTGTCCTGGCGTTGTTGGGTCTGCAGAAGTAATACTCCCAACAATAGGGTCTGACTTACTCCAGTTAGAAGATTAAATAAGTATTGGGGATATAATGTACAGCGCGAGGACTACAGTTAACCCTGCTGTCTGGTATATTTGAAAGTTGCTGAGAAAATAGATCCTAAAGATTCTTATCATGAGGAAAAAAACATTTCTCTCTCTCTCTCTCTCTCTCTCTCTCTCTCTCTTTTCCTGTATCCGTATGAAATGATGGGTATTAACTAAACTTGCTGTGGCAATCATTTCATAATTTAGAAGCCACATCATCGTGTGCCTACCTGAAACTTATGCAGTGCTGTATGTCAATTACATGTCGATAGAACTGAAAGAAAAAGAAACAGAAAAAAATTCCCTTTGCTGCTTCTGTTGAGCTAAGACAGAGACCCCCAGATACACTCTAAGAAAGCAATCTTTCTGATGTGGGGCAGCCCCGAACTGACATGTTAGGGCCTCAGGGCAAAGGAAGGGCCCCACGAGGGTGTTTAAAAGCAATTTCTTTTTTTAATGTTTATTTATTTTTGAGAGTGAGACAGAGCGTGAGCAGGAGAAGGGCAGAGAGAGAGGGAGACACAGAATCCGAAGCAGGCTCCAGGCCCTGAGCTGTCAGCACAGAGCCCTACATAGGGCTCAAACTCATGGAACCATGAGATCACGACCTGAGCTGAAGTCAGACGCTTAACCGACCGAGAGCTGAAGTCAGACGCTTAACCGACCGAGCTGCTTAGGCGCCCCTCCATGAGGATGTTTATTACACACAAACACTAAATAACCTGAATAACTGTTACCGAGGTAACTGGATTTTCCTGTCCACTTGGGCCTGGTTTTGGGTGAGGCAGAATTTAAGGAGGTGCTCAGTGTTAGAGTCCCATGGGCACAGGTGGGCCCCGAGATGTTGCTCCCCAGGCTCCGAGCCCGCCTTGCCTGAGCACTGTCTCTTACCTGGGCTCCCCTGGTCCAACGGACTCCTGACTTCTCAGCTTCTTTTCTTACCTGCCACCCTGCAGCATGGTGGTTTATTCTCAGCAGAGCAGGGGAGGAGTTCTGGTGTCCGTAAGTCAGGACTTAACGCTTCCCCCGCTCTACTGTTTTTGCCGTGACTTCTTGGCTGCTGCTCACAAGTGGCGGTCCTTGGCCTTCCTGGTTTCTCTGCCTGGCATTCCTTTCCGACACAACTTCCCAGAGCCGCATGGCTTCCTCCTCTACCTCCTGCAGAGAGAGCCTCACAGAAGGATCACCTTCTCCACGAGGTTGTCCCTGACCTCTTTAGCTTTGCGCCTGCTCCCCCCACACTCAGGAGCCGCATCCCGCCTCGATGTTCTCGCCAGCACTTACATTTTACTCGTTTCATTTCTTCCCCCCACAAGACAGTAAGTGGCATGAGGGCAGGGTTTGTTTTCGTGTGTGATCCTTCCTCTGCTGTACGCACAGTGCCGAGACTGAGACCCGTCACTCGGTCCATGTTTCCTGGATGGATGGCGAGGCATGGGGGAATCATTTCAGACTCCACGTGGGCAGCTGGTGCCCCAGGCCCCTCCTGGCCATCCCCCTGGGACTCTCGGCCCCAGCCAGCGCATGACCATGCTCTGATTTGGCAGGTAAAATAACAGTGCTCTACCGCCAGAGATCACACTACCCCCCCCCCCACCCCTCCCACCCCCCCACCCCCCCGGCGCCTTTGTCTTTTTTGGCCTCAGCTCATCAGAAGCTTTGTCTCTGGAAAACCAACAGAGCCCTCTGCCAGAAAGGTCTGCCCGACCTTCTTGTTATTTCAGCTGTTTTCAAGGCCCTCCAGCAGGCTGCTTGGCCACAGGGAGGCCCTCAGGGAGCCAGGTCAGGTGACGGACTTCCAGCCCTGATATTCAGACACCGCTACACCGCAAAGCCCGTCTTCAGGTTGCCTCATTCCATTCCATTCTCAGCCCTTCTAGCCGGCAGCTTGCCTGTGGTCATTTCACTGCTCACGAGCCCTGCTCGCTTTCCCACAAGCGAGCCCGGAACTTGAAGGGAGGCCAGGCTTTGCAGACCCAGAAGCCTTGCTTTACGGTAGGGGTCGTGGAGGAAAACACAAGTCCCTGCAAAGCCCATTGGCAACTCAAGTTCACTGTGTCGCTGCCTGAGGAACATTGAGGCACGGGCAGTGCTCATGCTTGTGCTCAGCAGGGGTCTATCCCAGTTTGTTCTGCTTGGATGGAGCAGGGGGGCCTTCCCTGTGGGGTCTGTTGAGGAAGGTGGTCAAGTTCCTTCCAGCCCAGTGGAAGAAGGACAGGATGCTCTATTTGCCGAAGACTCCCCGTTGCTTCCTTAGCCCATAGACATGCTCCTTGCCTGTGTCCACTCTCCCTTCGGAGAGGGGGGAGGGTGAGGCATAAAGCAAGCTGGGGAAGCAACCTCAGATCAGCTCGGAGCCCAAGGATGCTTCCCCCAAGTTCATCGAGGTATAACAGACAAATAAACCTTGTACAGGTTTACCGTGTACAGTGTGATGTTTTGATGTGCGGATACAGTCTGAAACGATTTCCAAAAATCTAATAAACACATGCCTCACCTCACGCGGTTACGTACGTTTTAAATTTCTTGTGGTGAGACATTTAAGATCGACCCTGTTAGTGAATTCCAAGTATGCAACAGAGTATGATTAATCGTCATCGCTATGCTATACAATGGATCCCCCAAAGCTGTTCACCTTGCATCACTGAAAGTTTGTCCTCTTTGACCAGTATCGTCCTATTTATCCCTCTACCCCCACCCCAGCCCCTGGCAACCACCATTCTACCCTTTGCTTCTATGTGTTTGACTTTTCTACATTTCGAATAGAAGCGAGACCACGCGGCGTTTCTTTCACAGTGTTTGTCTCGCTGCTGCCTGGCTTCTCTCACTCCGCATAATGTCTCCCAGTTTGGAAGTTGTTGCTTCTTTTCCACAAGCCTTCTTTTTAAAGGCTGAATAATATTCCATTGCGTGTATATTATATATGCAGTACATTTTCTTTTGTCATCCACCCACAGACACTTAGATTGTTTCCATATCTCGGCTGCTGTGAATAACGTGGCAGTAAACACTGGGTGCCGATCTCCCTTCATGATAGTGATTTCGTTTCTCTGGATATATACCCCAGAAGTGGGATTGCTGGATCATATGGTCATTCTATTTTTAATTTTTTGAGGAAATGCCATCCTGTTTTCCATAATGTCAGCTTGGGTCTTTTTTTTTTTTTTTTGGTAATGTTTTTATTTATTTTTGCGACAGAGACAGAGCATGAGCAGGGGAGGGGCAGAGAGAGAAAGAGACAGAATCTGAAACAGCTTCCAGGCTCCGAGCTGTCAGCACAAAGCCCGACGTGGGGCTCGAACTCACAAACTGTGAGATCATGACCTGAGCCGAAGTCGGACGCTTAACCGACTGAGCCACCCAGGCGCCCCTGTCAGCTTGGGTCTTAATCAAAGTCCATGGCCTCAGGTCCATTCTTTGAATCTCCGGTTTGCCTTTTCACTGTAGTTTAAATAAATAAATAAGTGGGGAAAAGATTAAATGTCTCCCTGGAGGTATGGGCGTGAAGGATAATGCAATGGTGTACTGGCTAAATTAGCTTATTTCCATTCAGTGAAATTTTTAAGTACGAATGATTCTCTTTGGAAATCCTCAAAGGAATGTTTTATCGTGGAACTGTTAAGAAAAACAATCTGTTTATTTATGTTCCCACCTTAATTTTAGCTTTTTTCTTAAGTGAATTTTTTTCCCCTGAAGTCCTTCGTGTTGGGTCATTCCAAAATGGATTACTGACGAAGAATGAGGCCACTCTAGAGTTCCAAGCTAAGTAGCTTTAAGAAGAAAAGCCTTCTATGATTGTTGCTCATGGTCAGAAGCCAGTAGAATGAGGCTGGGAATCTAGCAGCAGGTCAATAAGTGTTTGTTGGGCACCCTCCTTGTGCAAGAGCTCTTTCTTCTTCTAGAAAGGGAGAAGTCTTTGGGGCCTCAAGATCAACAAATATTGGTTGAATCTAATTGAGTTTGAAAGAATAACTCTCCTTTTGGAAAACAGAAGAATTCGCATTTCTGAACAATTGATTCATTGGCCTCCAGATGACCATGACTGTTTACTTAAACTTTCCCTTTTATTTTGGTTAAGTATGTATCTTCCCATCCTTTTGAGTTTATCTGGGTCTTCCAGAACTTACATATCTCCAACCCGTCCCCTCCCCGATCCACTGGGGTGGGCAGTTGGGGTGGCTGGCTGGCTCTGTACATTCTTTCCGCAAGGGCAGGGACACATAAGTGCGACTCACATCCACCATAACCCCAGCCCCGGCAGCATCTTTATGTGTTACAGATTGGTTCTCTAGCTCTAACACTCCCAGTGGCTTGGGTGTCCAACATGGTTTCATTCGGTCCAGAAGTTCAAGTCTGTGCCTCCTTAGTAGCCTCATAAATTTAGGGCTTTCAGGTGAAAGGGGGGTGATACGGTTTTTATTCTATGGTTCCCATTTGCAAGTGGCACTTGAAAATATTACCCTCAGTTCCTCTTTTCTCAAAGTTCAACCTGATATTTTGCTTTTGTGCTTGTCCACTGAAGCTGAATTCTCTCCGGTAGGTTAAGCGTCTCCAGTGAGGTTAGTTTTCTTCTTGGACAAGAATCATGATGGTTTTTGTTTTGTTTTGTTTTAGTTTTTTAACTTTATTTATTTATTTTGAGAGAGAGAAAGCGCAAACAGAAGAGGGCCAGAGAGAAGGACAGACAGAATCCCAAGCAGGGCAGAGCCCGATGCGGGGCTCGATCGAACTCATGAACCATGAAATCATGACCTGAGCCAAGATCAAGAGTTGGATGCTTAACTGACTGAGCCACCCAGGCACCCCAGGATGTTTTTATTTCTGAGCATCTTGTTACTCAAAGTGTGATTTAAGGGCTCGGAACATAGGCGTCCCCTGGGAGCTGTATTTGATAAGTTCTATAGCTGATTTGTGTGTACATCTAAGTGTGAGAAACCCTGATTGAGCATGTCTTTAGAGTTTCTTATTAAAAATTACATTGTCGAGATATAAAGGGACAATTTCCATTAAATTTGTTTGAAATGTTTTCCTGACATTTTATGGTGAAAGATTTCCACTAGCAAAATCGAAAGTTCCACTGTTAAGTACCCATATATTCTCCACCTAGATAACAACACCATTAATATCTTTATGTTTCTTTTTTTCTCAAATTAATTTCCATCAAGAATTATAAAATTCAGGGGCGCCTGGGTGGCTCAGTCGGTTAAGTGTCTGACTTTGGCTCAGGTCAGGATCTCCCCGTTCCTGAGTTCGAGCCCCGCATCAGGCTCTGAGCTGTCAGCACACAGCCTGGAGCCTGTTTCGGATTCTGTGTCTCCCTCTCTGTCTCTGCCCCTCCCCCGCTCATGCACGAGTGCGCGCGCGCTCTCTCTCTCAAAAATAAATAAACATTAAAAAAAATAAAAAAAAAGAATTTTATAGAGATATATTAGTTGACAGCATGACTCTTAGAAAGAATCATGTCTTGGAAACGAAGGTTTCACTCTTCTAGAATTTTCAGTGGGTTTGATAAGGTCATAATTAGTTTGGGAATTTCTTGGGAATCAGAGAAGCATGGTGGGGTGAGAGTGGGGGAGCAACTGGGCTTTGGCAGAGTTGGGTGCTAGTCTTTGCCCGTCCCAGGGCCGTGAACCTCAGTGTTCCCATCCATACGGTGAATGGGTTGAGTGACACCATCTGTAATGCCGTTACCAACCTTGTGATTGTAGGTCCGTTGCAAATATCACTGTCATCGTGATTTCTCAGGTGGGGAAACTGATGAACCAGTTGCATATTCGAATCAGAAGGAAAACATCTGTTGGCATGGAAAAGAGATTATTTCCTAAGCTACTGAGTAAAACACAGCTGCACTGGCAGTTTAACTCTGTTTTCTTGTCAATTTTTGTTCTTTCAGGAAACCTGACAGAAACATGAAGCCCTCCACCATCTGGAACTGAGAAACCCATTCAAGGCTGACGGCGGCTTCTAGAACGTCCAGGTGTTCTGCAGATGTGAGAATTTATCCTGCTCTCACCAGCTGGAGTCCCGAACAGATGCAAAGCTTGTGCTGTGGCCCTAACGTCCCCGGGCACGGAGGGGTCGTTTTTTAAGTGGCCAAAGAGCCATCACTGACACGGGTATCTGATTGCCGCACGCGGCTGGTCGTCTCTCGGAGCTGCAGGGGGCAAACCAAATTCGAGGTTGCGAATTTCCTGACTGTCTTGAATTAGGATGCCAGGTGGGGGCCTCATTTCCGCAGCCCCAGCGTCCTTCTAGGCACCCCACCAACACGACCCCCACAACCAGTATCTCCTTGCAGACTCCACCACTGCTTCTCCAGAGACTCCCTGCACCTTAAGTGAGCAGAAGGAAGCTCTTGGAAAAATCCTCAGCCGTGGCCCACAGTCATTGCCCTCCCCTGCCCACCATGGGCTGGCTTTTTCTAAAGGTTCTCTTCGTGGGGGTGACTTTCCTGGGATGTCTTTATCCTCTCGTGGATTTTTGCTGCAGCGGGGACACAAGAGGCCAGAAGCCGAATTTTGTGATCATTTTGGCAGATGACATGGGGTGGGGTGACCTGGGAGCAAACTGGGCAGAAACAAAGGACACTGCCAACCTTGATGAGATGGCTGCAGAAGGAATGAGGTGAGTCTTGAGGATGGCTGGCTCTTGGCCGCGGGAGGGGGCAGCATAAAGCACTTGAGCAATCGATGGCTCCGTGTGGATTTAGCGAATTGATTGATTCATTTGGTTTGAAGCCAGTGCGGCATCTGGAAGAAATCCATCCATTCGTCTGTCTGATAACACTCAGGGTGTGTGGGGGGGGGGGGAGGGGCAGGGGGCTGCGAGTACAGAGGTAAACAAGATACCTCTTGGGCCTGTATTCTGGGGGAGGAGACAAGTTAAAAGGAGAGTAGGCATTGCGGTCTAGAACCTGAGCCTGCTTCAGGCAGTTTTGGACTCTTCAGGGAGGGTGTGGAACCTAGCCTGGGGGCTCCAGAGAGAAGGTGACCTTTGAAGAGCGAGGAGTCGAGCACACGAAGTTGAGAGGACTTATCTGTGAGCAGATGGGACTTACTGGTACACGTCTTAGAGGAACTTAACTCCAAGGGACCATAAAAGAGAAGGGCATGTGCATCTCAGTGGGTTGGGATGTTCATAAGCTCCTTGCCTGCTTGGAAAGAGAACACGTATTTGAGCGTTCAGAGTTTTATTTTATTAAAAAATTTTTAATGTTTATTTTTGAGAGAGAAAGAGAGAGAGAGCGAGAGACAGAGTGTGAGCAGGGGAGGGGCAGAGAGAGAGGGAGACACAGAAGTCAAAGCAGGCTCCAGGCTCCGAGCTGTCAGCACAGAGCCTGATGTGGGTCTGAACCCACAGACCTCGAGATCATGACCTGAGCCCAAAGTCGGATCTCGACAGACTGAGCCAACCAGGTGCCCAGGGCATTCAGACTTTGCGTGTTCATCTTGGGCTGACAGCAGTCCGACTGTCCAGCTCAGATCCCGCTTGTGCTACGTTAAACCCCTCTGTTCAGTTCGGTGGGAATCATTCCAGCTAACTGGTTAGGACAATGTGTGGGGCATCTGCACAGAATTTGAGCCACTTGTATCCCCGGGCCTGGAGCTTCCCCAGAAACACGGACCCTTGGGGTCCCTGCACCTGGTCTCACCCACTGCAGTCCATCCACCTCACCTCAGCCAAAGGGAAATTTCTAGAAACACTCCTCTGTTTCCAGTCCTTGATAGGCATTTTGTGGCCCCAGGGATACAATCCAAACTCTGGACAGCAGCTTCTAAGACCAGCCCGTCTTCCACACTGGCTTTCTGCGCGGCCCCTCTGTGCACCTGCTGCCTCCTTCTGTCTGGACCTTACCTGTGTGATTCCATCTTCCTGGTTTACTTTCCGCGTCCTCTGCTTAGTTAGTTTCTGCTCACCATCTGGATCCCCAGTGCCTCATGAGGTCCTGGGGAAAGCTTTCTTGGACGTTGCATGGGTCCTCCGCCAACTCCCTTGCTGCTCTCGTGGTGATCGCTTACCTGTGTCACCCCCTGTGTTGGGTTGAATAACATGCCCCCCCAATTCATGTTCACCTGGAACCTCAGCACAGGACCTCATTTGGAGACAGGGACTTGGCAAATGTAATTTATTGTGGGCCTTAATGACACCACCCTCCACTGAGGGTGGGTCCCAAATCCAATGACTTGTGTCTTTACAAGAAGAGGAGAGGACACAGAGAGACACCCAGAAGAGGTGATGGGAAGACACGGTCAGGGAACCGTGTTGGGTCTGCAAGCCAAGAACTCCCGGGGCCACCAGCCACCACGAGAAGCCAGGCGGGGGCTCAGGACAGCTTCTCTTTGTGAGCCTCCATCTTGGTTTCAGACTTCCAGCCTCTTGAACCGTCACAGAACACATTCCCGTCATTTTCAGCCTCCAGTTTCTGGTCATTTGTGGCGGCCACAGGAAATTCATACATGCCCCCCCCCCCCCCACTTCTAGCTCTGGCCTTCGGGAAGAAAAATGCCTTTTCTCTTCTTCCTCTCTGGTATTCCTAGCACAGAGCACAGTGCCTGGTACGTCGTAGACAGTTTAGAAATAATTGTTCATCAGTGAATGGGCTTTAGAAGTTCAAGCTACCAGGGCACCTGGGTGGCTCAATTGGTTAAGCATCTGACTTCGGCTCAGGTCATGATCTCAGGGTTCGTGGGTTCGAGCCCTGTGTTGGGCTCTGGGCTGACAGCTCAGAGCCTGGAGCCTGCTTTGGATTCTGTTTCCCTCTCTCTCTCTCTCTGCCCCTCCCCTGCTTTCTCTCTGTCTCTGTCTCTCTCCAAACAAAAAAAAAAATGAAAAAAAAAAGTTCAGGGCACCTGGGTGGCTCAGTCAGTTAAGGATCCGACTTTGGCTCAGGTCATGATCTTGCGGTTCGTGGGTTCGAGCCCCTCATCAGGCTCTGTGCTGACATCTCGGAGCCTGGAGCCTGCTTCCGATTCTGTGTCTCCCTCCCTCTGCCCCTCCCCCACTTGTGTTCAATCTCTCTCTCTCTCTCAAAAAGTAAATATTTATAAAATTAACAAAAAAAAAGAAGTTCAGGATATGTTGAAATGTCACCCCATGGGGTGCCTGGGTGGTGCAGTCGGTTAAGCGTCCGACTTCAGCCAGGTCACGATCTCGCGGTCCGGGAGTTCGAGCCCTGCGTCAGGCTCTGGGCTGATGGCTTGGAGCCTGGAGCCTGTTTCCGATTCTGTGTCTCCCTCTCTCTCTGCCCCTCCCCCGTTCATGCTCTGTCTCTCTCTGTCCCAAAAATAAATAAAAAAACGTTGAAAAAAAAATTGAAATGTCACCCCAAATTTTGCATGTTGGATTTTTTTTTTTTCCTGGAGAGATTTAATCCATAGCATTTACCAGATTTCAAAGGGAACCAGATTGCCAAATCCTCAAGAGCTTCTGCTTTTAGTGGGTTTGTGGGGAAATATCTGGCCCCTTATTTACATCGAGATTTCTGAGGCCTCGGCATTCTCCTTATGAGCTGTCACTGCAGGCATGCTGTCCTCCTGAGCAGAAACCAGATGCAAACACAGCTCGGCGGGCTCTCCTATTTTTTTCCCTCCCTTTATGAAAATACCCTCCCCATTTGAGCCTTGTGACAGGGGCCGAGCGGACGGCCCTCTGGCCCGACGTGGGCAGCTTTTCTCTCTGTGCCTTGTTGACAGGAAAGCAGGCTTCCTGTGAGGCCGCGGATTGATTCATCACTGGCTTCTCCCTCTGCCTACTCACGGCCAGTGGGGAACCATGACTTTCAGACAAGAAGCCCTATTGCCAAACAGGGTCTATGGGTGACTCGAGAAAGCCTCTTTTTTCCTCGGGGTATTGTTTCCTAGGACTTCCACAGCAAATCACTGTCAACTGTGTGGCTTAAAGCCACTCACATCTGCTCTCTCACAGTTCAGAAGGCTAGAAGTCCTGAGTCAAGGTGACGGCAGGGCTGGTTCCTTCTGGAAGCTCTGGGGGAGCATGGGTTCCATGCCTCCCTCCTCGCTTCTGGTGGCCGCAGGCGATCCTTGGCCTCCTCGGTTTGTGGTTCGTCACTCCTTTCCCTGCCTCCACTGTTCCGTGGCACTCTCCCCACATGCCTGTCTATATCCCCCTCTTCTCATGAGGCCACCGGCCACTGGCCCTGAGGCCCATCCTAATCCAGTATGACCTCATCTCAACTTGATGACATCTGCAAAGGCCCTCTTTCCACATAAGGTCATATTCCCAAGTTCTAGACTGACATGAAATTTGTGTGTGGGGGGGCCCGCCCCGCGGATGCTTTTCCACCCAGAGCAGGGAGCTCAACTGCATAGATTTTTATCTCTGCTCCTAACATAGTCTGTAATGTAGCAGGTTTTCGATAAAAGATTGTTGCTTTGAAGATTGAACATCCTGCTTAAGAAGTCGGGCTCTGGGGGCGCCTGGGTGGCTCAGTTGAGTGGGCGTCCAACTCTTGATTTTGGCTGCAGTCATGATCTCGCTGTTATAGGATCAGGATGGAACCCCGTGTTGGGCTCTGCACTGGGTGTGGAGACTGCTTGCGAGTCTCTGCCTCTCTCCCCTGCTTGTGCTCTCTCTCTCTCAAAAAAAAAAAAAAAAAAAAAAAAAAAGAGAGAGAGGAGAGGGGAGGGGAAGGGAAGGGAAGGGGTTAGCCTCTGGAGCCAGATGGCTTGGGTTCAAATCCCAACTCTACTACTTTCTGTCTGTATGACTCTGGACCCTCAGAGCTTTGCTTTCCTCTTCTGTTAATGGGGTGGCCACACCCACCTCATAGGATGGTGTAGGGATTAAATCAAGTCATCCAGGTAGGCAGTTAGCACTGAGCTTGGCACGCAATAGACATAGATAGATGTTAACTATGGTTATTTTTGGTATTGGGATTAGAAATAATATGCATTTGAATTGTCGATGTGAATTGGCTACCCTGCCTAGTGAACGGTCTAAATGATAAATCATGGAAGGAGTGGGTTCCAGAGACAAATAAGTCCCTGTTCATCTCTATGTGGATCGGATACACTGAGCCGACGTCTGTATTTGACTCAAACACAGCAGCTGTAGTAACAGCCAATGCGAGGCGCCAGGCTCTGCGCTTCACCCCATCTAATTCTGGCCACCACCTGATGTTTCTCTTCTTTCACAGGTGAGGAAGTCAAGGTCAAGCCACTTGCCCCCACTTGGCTGTCCTCTGGGGATCTGCTCGATTCTGTTCAGTCCTAGACCACGTCCCCCAGGCAACACTTCAATGTCTCCGTAACATTTCCCTTCCAGCACACGCCAGTAGTGTTTTGTTTTGTTTTTTCTTCCCACTTGGTTATGGTAGATGCGATTTGCCAAATTTGTGGACAGATTGGGCACCATTCACAACATAACTGTGAAGTCATCATTGCTACAGAATGGCAGGGTTCCCTGGGGGGCAGAAAGGCAGAACTGGTAGTGCCTCAACTTTGCTTCCTTTGCAAGTTTCCTAACTTCCATTTACGTAGAGGAAGATGAGGGACTGTGGCCTGAAACCCACCGTCGTAAGGTTTATAGAGGAACCATCTCGTTTATGGCAGCTCAGGTCAAAGAGCATCCTCGCCGCGTATCGCATAGGGGGAAACTGAGGCCCG